CCAAATTCTGGACACTTTTCCTTTTTCATTTCGTGTTCATGTCCACAATACGAACACTTTTTTATCTTCTTTAACATGTACATATCAGCGAATATTTGTTCGCTGGGTTGACTTTTATAATGGTTGTATGTCTGTATTAGTTCTTGTTGCTGCATAAAGTCAATACATGTATTTAAAGACATATTTCCTATTTGTAATTGTTCCATTATTTTATATCGGTGTGACGCATTGGACATACCTTCAATTAGTCTTAATTGAATCAAGTCCTCTTCAATAGTCTGTTCGTCTTGTCCAAGTTTTTCAAATTCACAATATCTACTTGCATTTTGTAGACGGTGTAAATATTTTATAATTGGTTCGTCAATTTCTTGTTTCATCGACATGAATTTCGTTCTTTCTGCCACTACCAGCCTTTTCTTGGGTCTCATATTTCTTCTTATAATCTAACTTATTTTCTCGAAAGTCAGGTCTTCCATATTTAAGGGATATGCTATGGTGGAGACTTTCATTACTGCCTCACATCTAGCTGTAGCCAAAAATAAATCCGTGATTTAATTTTCGTTTCCCTTCTCCTTGTTGTCTTTCAACTTTTTTGTTCTCGCAGTGGCAGAGAAACAACGAATCCATGTATCCACGAAATCTGGATCTTCCAGAGACAATTGATATCCTATCGGCGACGTCATTGTTGTGAAGTTGAAGTTAGCACTAATCAGCCACTAAACTCGTACTTCTACCTCGTTATTCCCAGTGACCACTTATATGAGTGTTCACTTATGCTTATGCAAATTATGCATACTAATTTGCTAGTATCACTACAGAAAGAATATAAAATAAAAGAGCAATTGTATTTTAAATACAAACAATATTTATTTTTTGTCTCACCTTACTTGATGCAGGTGGATGAAAAAGGATTAAAATCAATTCATGTGTGTGTGTGTGTTTAAACAGCAGCTATCTTGTTTCTCTCCCTGTCTGGAAGTAATTTTCTCTACTCAAAGTGAAGAATTCTCTTTCTTGGGTAGAGTTATCTCCCTGAACATAAACAAAGCAATGAGTAGAGAGAGCAAATTTATAGCATGTTTGGAGAAAATTAAATCACTGAAATTTATTGATGTCTAATATCATGAAAAGTAGAGCCAATTCAATAGAATTGATTTACCCTAAAACCTTCTAATATCCGGCACCTTTTGAATATTTTTTGTTGGCCAGTGTTTTTTATACTTTCTTTACACATTTTATTGTCACTTAACATAACAGTACAATAATCAGTACATTGTCTTATACAGGAAATGTTTACCATTATTTGAATAGGAACTTCTTTTTATGCACTATGTCCTTTCAGGATGTAGGCGATCATGACGCTCCACTTCCCCCTATCCCTTGTAGCTCTCAATAAGTTTATCCCTCTGCCACCTCCCTCAGACTATGTGCTGTCATCCACTTGATTAAGCCCGCCAGGTATGTCATGCGTTGCTTTCCCTTGTCTCTCTTTCCCTCTATTTGACCTGTGACTAAAGTTGATAAGGAGTTTTCTCCCTTACATTATTTGTAATTTGTTTCATTAGACACTCTGACCAGTTGGAAAATTATTTATTCAGAATATTTTATTTTTTAACGAGTTCACCTTCATTTTTTTTTTTTTTTTTAAATAAAAGTAACATTGAAAAGAATAGATGTCAAAAGAAATAGGTTCTTTGTTTCTACAAATTTGAGAGAATTGCAAAGTGACACTATAAAATTAACATCCATTATTCAATAATAAAAGTAATTTATAAAAAATAAAATATGTATTTTTTTAATACAGATCATTAAAACTTTCAGCAAGTATGATCCCCTTTTTAATTTGGACCTTCATATACTTGTAAATGGGATGAAAATATATAGGCCAACATAGAAAGCAAAATACTTTAAAAAATAATGGTGCTTTCAAATTGAATCTTTTTTAAAAAAATATATATCTCCAATACCATTTGAGCAGATAAAGTTTTCCCATGGTAAAATTAATGGAAAATTTGAGGCTATCACAAAGCATCAGAACCTTTCTTAAAAACCTTTTAATAGTAAAATTAATTAAAATGCCTGTTTCTTTTATTTATTTTATTGATGCATGTAGGATAATTTTAAATAATTTAAAATCCTTTCTATTGATTAATTATATATTTAAAATAATGTATTATATAATCCATTATATGTACTTACTATTATAAGTATAGTTATGATTTCTGAAACTGTTAAATATCAAGATAACTATTCTTCTTAAACAAGGTTAAAAAGTATCTGTACTCCAATGATAGCAAAAAAAAAAAGTAGTAAGTAACTCTGGTTGTTATGACTGATATTTATCAGATGCAAGATAAAATAGTGTTTTTCTTTTCAGTACAAAGCTAGAGTAAAGCAGTGGTTGTCTTGGATGTGTGTTTGGGGTCATTGTCATGCTGGAACACTGCTCTGCGACCCAGTTTCTGGAGGGTGGGGATCATGCTCTGCTGCAGTATTTCACAGTACATGTTGGAGTTCATGTTTCCCTCAATGAAATGTAACTCTCCAATACCTGCAGCACTCATGCAGCTCCAGACCATGACATTCCCACCACCATGCTTGACTGTAGGCATGACACACTTATCTTTGTACTCCTCACCTGGTTGCCGCCACACATGCTTAAGGCCATCAGAACCAAACAAATTAAATTTTGTCTCATCAGACCATAGGACATGGTTCCAGTAAACTGTTTGCGGGCTTTCTTGCGTATTGCCTTCAGAAGAGGCTTCCTCCTGGGGTGACAGCCATGCACACCAATTTGATGTAGTGTGCGGCGTATGGTCTGAACACTAACAGGCTGAATCCCAATCTCTTTAATCTCTGCAGCAATGCTAACAGCACTCCTATGCCGATCTTTCAAAGAAAGCATTTGGATGTGATGCTCAGCACGTGTGCTCAGCTTCTTTGGACGACCTACCCGAGGCCTGTTCTGAGTGGACCCTACTCTTTTAAAATGCTGGATGATCTTAGCCATTGTGCTGCAGCTCAGTTTCAGTTTCAGGGTGTTGGCAATCTTCTTGTAGCCTTGGCCATCTTTATGTAGTGCAACAATATGTTTTTTAAGATCCTCAGAGAGTTCTTTGCCATGTGGTGCCATGTTGGAACTTTCAGTGACCGGTAAGATAGAGTGTTAGAGCTGAACTACAAATTTGAATACACCTGCTCCACATGGGCATAGTTACACTAATGAGTCACATGACATTTTGGTGGGAAAATGAAAAGCAGTACTCAATTTAGACATTTAGGGGTGTAGTTTCTTAGGGGTGTACTCACTTTTTAGGGGTGTAGTTTCTTAGGGGTTTACTCACTTTTGTTGCCAGGGATTTAGCTTTTAATGGCTATATTTTGAGGGGAAAAGAAATTAACTCTGTTATATATGCTGCAGACAGACTACTTTTCATTGTGTCAAAAGGTAATTTTTTCAGTGCTGTCCCATGAAGAGATATACTTAAATATTTGAAGAAATGTGAGGGGTGTACTCACTTTTGGCCAGTCCATCAGCATGTCTCCAGACTTGAACCCAATAGAACATCTTTGGGCCATCCTCGAGCAGAAGGTGGATGCGCGCAGAGTCTCAAATATCCGCCAGCTCCGCGACGTCGTCATTGAGGAGTGGAAGAGCATTCCAGTGACTACCTGTGAAGCTCTGGTAAACTCCATGCCCAGGAGAGTAAAGGCAGTTTTGGATAATGATGGTAGCCACACAAAATATTGACAGTTGACATGTTGTATGTTAATATTGACAACTTTTCCTAAGGGGTGTATTCACTTTTGTTGCCAGGGATTTAGCTTTTAATGGCTATATTTTGAGGGAAAAATAAATTAACTTTGTTATATATGCTGCAGACAGACTACTTTTCATTGTGTCAAAGTGTCATTTTGTCAGTGTTGTCCCATGAAGAGATATACTTAAATATTTGAAGAAATGTGAGGGGTGTACTCACTTTTGTGAAAACACTGTATGTGCCATTTTGCATTTCAATCAATTCAGTAGTTTAACTGTCTATCCTGGATGCACGCACACACACACACACACACACACACACACACACACAGAATTTGTTCGAAGTAGCAAAGTGGTTGTTGACTACTGTAACTAGGCAATATGCATAGGCAATAGGTGAAGACAATAGGCATAGTCCATAGGTGTAGTCCCTGTACCTCCACATCAGTCTGTATTTATAGCTGACACCAGCCAATGATATTACTGTGAGGGGGAACCCAGGTGTATGCATATTCATTACATCATTATTCATTGAACATTTTCCCCAAATCAAATTCTATTAGCATTGATTTTATTTAAATAAAATTCCAATATTCAAAATGTACATTATCAAAAATACTTTTTATCATTTTGATGTAATTTTCAAACAAGAAAACTAATATATGAATAGAATTGGAATTTTTATTTCATTCCTTAAAAAGTATTGATTTTTAACAAATTTGGCATATTATGAGTTGACACAAATGTCTAAAAAAACAAAAAACAAAAATGCAAGCGGTCATTTTAAGAGAAATGTTAAATATAAAATATTTATTTAGTATTTTATGCTGCGATAATTTTTGGTTTTACTTTCATCTGAAAATTTTTACTGCTTATATCACTGATAATTATTGACCATAACAATGAATTCAGAAATGTATAGAACAAAATTCCTGTCTCTCCACCCCAATTATGGAGTTGTAAATCTATACTCCTCATTTATATGTTAGTTATAGCTATTGATTATTTGCATCACAATTTCTGGAAATTGACTTTTAATGAGAATAAGGAGAATTTTTAAAGTTTATTAAAAAAAAAAAAAAATACTTCCAGCTGCCAATTTCAATTATACAACCAGCAATTGCTAATTCTGCATGAAAAGGAGGTTAAAAAAAAAAAACAAGCTGTAAATTGATAGTGCACTTCGGCTACCCAATCAATTTTTTGTTATGCTGATTTCTTTGTTTTATGCTTCCAGATCGCAGTGAATTACCAGAAAATCGAACGGCACGAGTGGAAGGGAAAATATTTTACTTTGATGTTGGTTCTAATGCTCGGGGTGTGTTTCTTCGGCTAACAGAGGTAAGTTATTTACGTAAAATGGATTATCCAAATATTCTTCACTGATCAAGCCAATTATATATAATATCTAAAAATCTCTAAGTCTCTGATACTTACTTGGTAATACATTTGATGCTAATGGCAGATTATTCTGGTTTAATCCTTGAAAATCAGTAAATACAAACGTGATAGTGTTCATTATTTACATTGTTCATGACAATTTTTTATAATTTATCTACTTTCCATCCTTTGTTTATGTCACATATTGAAACAAATTCTTGCAAACAGGGGTAAAGAAATAATGCTTGAAGCTTTATCAATTCTAAAAGAAAATAACTAGGAACATTTTTCGTCATTGTTCCATGAAACAATTGATTAATTTTGCATGTAGAAAATAAAGAGGTAATCAATACTATCTCTGAAAAATATCTTTTTTTTATTTTAAATAAATACCAAAACTACATTTAAAATAAAACTGTACTTAAAAAAGAAAATTTAATTAATTCCTATTTATTGTTTATCATGGGTGATAGACGTCATTATCCTAAAATATTGATTAATACCTGATAGATTGATCTGAGTGGTAGTAATGATGAAAAAGATTTTTTTGTCATATATCTGTCCCTTCAAAGATATGAGAAATGATCAAAGCACAGATTTCCCTTTCTGATATTTACACTGGTTTCAATTCTTTAAAAGATGGGTGTCATATCTGGAACTGCACACATCTTTTTCAGTTTTCTAAAATAAAATAACAAAACCTATGGAAGATTTTAAAGGAGTAGAACTTCAAAATGAGTGTAAAGATGTACTTAAAATGGTGGCAAAGCAAATTAATGAGAGGGACCTGAACTTAAAGACAATGGTTATCTTCTAAGAAGATTTAATTATCCTTAAGAATTCAGAAAATAGATGAAAATCTGATGAAATAACTTCTTTTTGCCATGTCCCTTAAGGATGTGGGCAACCATTGCTTGCCACAACTTCCTGTCTTTTGTTGCTTAGTATGGTTTGTCTTTTCATTATCTCTCCTAAATCCTGTTTTGCCAACAATGTGCTGTTATCCACTGTCCCTTTTGCCTTCAATGTCTTATGAATATCAAATTTTCCAAGCCCTATTTCTTTATTAGCTGCCCTAGATTTAAACTACCTCTTTCTGATTCTAAGCATGTGTGTCTTTTTTGTTTCAAGTTCCCCTAAAACTTTGTTGTTGCTCACGTATTCTGTCTTTTTACAATTGATGTTTAGTCCTTTCTTCTCACTTTACTACCTTATGTAGGAGTTGCTGTTATTTATTCTCTGTGTCATCTTCATATTTTATGTTGTTAACATTTTGGTCACAATGGTCATAATTAGAGACAATGAGGGTATCAACCCCAAGGTTATAGTTGGTTCTCCCTTACTCACCATAGACAGATCAATTTGTTTTGGGGTAGCAATTGCCCAGATCCTGTCAGAGGTACTAATAGCCTGGGGCAGCATAGTGTTCGTGAGTATTTCCACTTGACAACTTTCTTTAATTTTTTTCTTATCTCCCTTAAATAACTCTAGCACACACTGTGATTGCCTTTAACATAAATGGGGCTTAATGATGTACACGTGCCCAACGAGTTCACCTGACACTCCGTCGTTTCTTCGGCTGTCAGTATCATAAATTTTGTCCTAGCTGAGTTCATTGCCATATACTCTATTTCAACTCGGTACTTAGCCACCACTTCCAATCCCTACTGTTAGTTACTGAATGGGATTTTTAATGGACCGAACATCATTGTGCACCGACACCAAATCCACTCATCTCATCCTCTCTACTTTTAAGTTTTAATTAGCAATGGTAGCTATCAATATGATTCTGGACAACCTTCCTTTCAATGTGCACAGTGATTGTTTCTGTGACACTCAGTCACTTTTAAATTTCATGGCTCATCCATCAGAGGCAAACACACACATAATTAGTAATAAGCAATTGTTACTAAAAAATTCCTCATTTTAAATTCACAATATCAAACCAATATTTCTTTTCTTGTGTTTCAAAAAAACACCTCAGTGTGGCTACATTACAGGGTGGTCCATGTCTAACATCAATCTCACCAGCGACATTAAGTTCGAATCTATCCAACAATCCACTGATAGTCTATACAATCCTCATAAAACAATAAAATAATTCTTCCGATCACCACCACTTCTCTCAAGCAACAAAAGAAAAAAAATTACTACTGCCTTTTTCTTTTCTTCTAAAACACCTAAAAAAAGTTTTGATTTTCCCTTCTTTTTTTTCTTTTTCCTTACTTCAACAGGTGGCTTCTAAAATCTGATTTCGATTTAACTTTTCCCAAAAAGAAACATTTTGATCCTTCCTGTTAATAATAACAAAAACTCTTGTCAATAAAATCTCTCTGTATCTAAAATGTCTCTCTCTTTCTTTATGAGCATCAGGCAGTAAACCCACTCTCTAATGGAGTCCAATTCCCCCTTCCTTCACTGTAAGGACTATTCATTATTTCTCTCTTCCCTCACTACTACTTAATTCTGTCCTTTTCTTCATCTGCTTGTCATGTTTTATTTCTCTCAACTGCTTTTAGTGTTGAGAGAGAAGTACTTCATTCTCTTTTTCTCAATCACTCAGCTCTTCTTCATTTTTGGAACGTTTCGAGCCAAAACCCAGGACTTCCTCACAGGGGATATTGCTTCGTTCTTTTACTTGACTCTATTCTCTACTTATTTCTTCATTGAATTTCACCTGTTGTACAGACCTTAATGGTAGAGCCTTTCCTACCTCTTTTCATTACCTTCATTGTCTTTTTGGCCTGATTGGCTAACATATTAGGAACTACTACTGCTGCGTCCACCATGAACTCACAAAAGGCTACTTCACCTTTTTCAGGACTATATTCTTCTGCTGGGGTCAGTTGAAAAATTCTTTCTCTCACTCCTTCCTTTGTCACCATTCTACCTCTACCTGATACAGCCGGTCTCCTTGGTGGTAACTTTATATCATCATCAACCACCACTGATGCTGACCTACCAGAGTTACTCTCTAATGGCATCTCCACACCATTGACAGACTGTGGGGTTAAACTTCACTTGTGCTGACCCAGCCACATGCCCAACATTGCACCTTTCTCCTGTAGGGGCAATTTCTCTTCAGATGTTCTAGTTTGTTACAGAATCAGCACCTTCTTCCAGGGCAGTTGACAGCAGAATGGCTGACCCGGTTACATGCCTAGCATCACATTACCCTTTTATTTACCTGGGCCACCCTCCCTCTTACTTCTGGAGCTGCCCTTTGATGTTCCCTAGTTCTATTTTCCAGGAGCTGGTTCTTGTAAAGGGGAAATATGGTGGTTCTTTCTTTATCCCACACTACCTTGCCTTATGTCCATGATAACTGCACCTGGTGCATCTCAGCTCATAATCCAGGGGTAATCCCCATTTCATTGGACCGTTCACTGCCCTATGGCCTTCATGATGACAGGTCCAACCTGTCGGCCTCAGCTGGCCTGGTGTGGGTTTGTAAAACCCATACTCCTGCATCCAGGCCCTTCCATTAGGAACCTCTTCCCATTTTTCCGGCTCAGTCTCCTCCTGCTTCATCTTCCTATTCCATGTATGTGTGTGTGTGGGGGGGGGAGGTTCCTATCCTCAATCTGCCTGCTTACCTTCTGAGTCTGTGCCATTGCTCCCTTCCCTCTAACCATTTCCCAGATCCTCTGTCAGTTCTTGGCTAAGGCAATAGCCTCTGAGTGTTTGGCTCTGGCCCCTTTTATTACATCATACCTGATGTGTTTATTATGCATTGCTTCTACATAATGGGTCAACTAACTGGGCCTGTATGGTCCCTAAGTTCTTGGGTGAATTTTTCGGCCCTCACTCCCAAATCTCTGGGAGATTCGCCCTTCATCGGAGTCAGCTTCATGAGGTTTCTCATCACCTCAATTGCGGTGCCTTCATCTGCAAATTCGTTGATCAACAGACTCTCCAGGTCTGTCCATGTCAACAGTGGGTTCCCCATCAGGTGACCCCCTATAAGCTCTGGGACTTTCCTTCTGCCGCATTGTATACTAGGTAGAGCGTCTCCCTTTCAACCAGCTCATATAGGAGCTGGCCCTTCTATATCGACGCCATCCAGTCCTTTAGTTCCCTTGGGTTCCCCCCCTCGGCTGAACGTAGAGTTGATTGTTTCAGCCAAAGTTTTGTCACACCCCACATTGTGATTAATTGATCGCAATACTGACTGAATGGTCAACTAACCTGGTTTGGTTCAGTCAGAGTAAAGTCACATGAAAAAATAAATTGGATAGAAGAAAAATAATATTCATATACAGTTACTTCCACCCTGAGCTCTCTCCTTCTTGGTTACCTGACCAAACCTGTCCCCTAAGGGCTAGGCGTGGTCTAGTCCAGTGGCCAGATTTTAATTATCATTCAAAATTATTTCTTATCGTACTTTTGGTGTGTGGTCTTTTCCACATCTGGGATCGATCATTCTTATTCCATCATCAACCCTTTGTTCAACAAGTGGCAAAGAAAGGAACAATCCCTTGATTTGGGGAAGTTTTATTGCATTTCGGCCAACAAAAATTTTAATTGTGATTCTTTTATATATGTTCTGCTGGAAACTTGTCTGCTTCTAAAAGTCAATGCTCATCTATAGGCTGAACTTGTATCCAGGGGTCTGTCTTGTCCCCTTTGCTCACAATGGTCATAAAAATATTATCTATTTCTTTCTGAGAGGTTGTTGGTTTTCCAAAATAGTTTATCATGTAGTCTCAATTCTAATTCAAACCAGATGGTCTCTTTGTTTTACCTCTCTGGCAGATGAGAAATTTAATTACCTTCTAGTTTTTTTTTTCCAATAAAAAAACAAAAAACAAAACAAATATCCTTTTCTTTGATTTTCCCTCATCAGGTCATCTGTATATCTTCAGTCTATCAGAATTTAGTGTTTTTCAATTTATTAGCGCCTTTCCAATAGTGTCACAAAAAGATTAGTATTAAATATATGAAAGTAATATATAAAAAAATTTTATGTTAATTTTTTTTTCTGTGAGAATTTTTAGGATTTTGTGGACTATTGTTCCCATATTTGTTGTTATCATAACATTTTGTCCATTGTGCCCTCAGAACTCTTCATTTAATCTACTTGAGTCCAAGAACAGTGATTGAACTCACTATTAGTATGTTACCAAATTAATGAATCAACACCCTAATCCAATAGAATTGTTCCATGGGACAATAGCCTAAGTGGAGAACTTAGAGCTTTAAACAGATGAGTACTACTATCATGCTTGACTGCACTCACTGAGGCTTTACTTCTCTTTTTTCTTTTTCTTTTTTTTTTTTACTGCAGCTACTGCTGTTACTTCTCTTTTTTTATCTATTTATGTCACTTGATAAAACATACACTCAGGAATTTCAGTGTCAAGTCTTGCCAAATCTGGGAACTTGCACAGTAAAATAACAAAGTAGTAGTAGCAACAAGGTGCACTATGGTTCAGTAAGAGCAATTTTCAATATCAGTACTTCTGAAGAATCTGTGCTAAACAAGCATCTCAACTTTGCCACATCCATCAGCTATGTCCCATAAGTGGGACATACCTGGTAACTCCGGTCAAGGAGATTGCCTTGAAGATCCTGAAGGTCCAAGCAGATGAGCTAAGATGGAAAGTGAGACAAGCACTAGAAAATGCCAAGCTGCCTAAATCAGTTATCACAAGGGAAGAAAAGATGGTAATCAACACCTTACAGAGAGACACTAATATCATCATAATGCCAGCTGACAAAGGCAATGTTACAGTGGTGATTGACAAGTTAGGCTACTCTGAAAAACTGTCAAGCCGAGTTGGAGATGGTATCTATAGCAAGGAGAAAAAAAGGATCCAACACTGAAAGCTGAGAGGAAGCCAGTACAGATCCTAAAGAAGGCTACTTTACACTGAATAAGTATAGACAGCTGACTTAATTTTTTAGCAAGCTATCACACATGTCTGGTCTCCCCAAGATTCACAAAGTTGGTGTGCCATTAAGATCCATAGTCAGGATCCATGCAAGGGCCCAGCATATAGTCAACCCACCAGGGATGTATTAATCATATGTTAAGAACTCAGGACACTTTGTGGAATTGATTCAAGGGACTCAAATCCATAGCAATCAGATAGTGGGGATCCTGTTCACCAGAGTTCCTACAGATGAGTCTCTGTTAGTGGTTCAAAATCAATTGGAATCAAATTCTTCCCTGGGAGGACGTACTAGCATTCCAATAGATAACCCAATGGAAATGTTGATGTTCTGTGTACAGACAATACAGTCGGACATACACCAATACGAGGAAGGCTTAGCTATAGGTTCACCTTGTCACCAGTGATGACAAACATATATGGAATACTTTGAGTAAAACTAGTCCTAACCACTGAAGTGAACATTATGGATGAGATATGTAAATGAAATCATATTCTGGGTTCACCAGGAAGTTATACAAATACTGCTGAACTATGAGAACACAATAAGACCTTTGATCTAGTTCATAGTGAAAGAAGAAAGAAATAATCAGCTAGCCTTCATGAATGTACTATTAACTCACACAAAGAATGAGTTCAAGATATCCATATATCACAAGCCAACCTTCACCAAACAATACCTCAACTTCAATTCCCACCATCCATACAATGTAACGAAAGCGATTGTCTGATGCCTATGATACTGTGCAAAAATCATGTGGTGACCCAGACACATGGTAATAGTAATATTACCATTTTCCCTACAAGGAAACATTTGGCATTCATTGACCAAGTAACCAGTACTGCTTTTGTTTGAAATTTATAAAATCTTTCTCTTAAAACAATTTTTCAAGAAAATAGGTTGTTCAAGTCATGTAGCTGTTATTATTCTTTCCAGTATTCATGACAATTTCTGTCCTAACCATTTATTTAAAATGGTGTGAAATGTTAACCTCTTGATTGTATCATTACTTTCTCTTCAAGCTACATGTGCTATCCATTTTAATTGTTGCTGCTTCTAGTAGTCCTCAAGGGATGTGGTTTCTGTTGTTTGGTACAGTTCTTTGTGAACCTATAAGGCAGTCTACAATGTCCAAAGTAGGATGATCTTTGCCACGACCCTCAGTCTTTACTTGCTTAAAGAAAGCGGTTAATCTTAGAAAGTAATTGTATATAGCTAACAGTTTAGATATTTCTGAACAGGTTTGGTGCCATGCATGACATTCATATGAAAGTCTTGATCTGATGAAGCTATTTAAGAACATGATTTGAATGTTCAGGTTGATGTTTTGATTTTGTAACAATTTGTGGTGTTGGGCAAAACTACCTCTGGTATATCCTATTCTATGTTTAATTTCCTTTTCTCCTATACTTAATTTGTTATAATTAATCCATACACCAAGATATCTGAAGTGTGTAGTATTTACTAAAGTAAGACTGGAGGGACATGGAAAAAACAAAATTAGGGGTGAGACAAAGCAGGAATGATTGATCATGTAGGGAGGGAAAAGGGTAGTTAAAGTCACTGGACAGAGAGGAACACTGGGGAGTCTGAAAGAATAAGTGCATATGCTAGGCTATGAGGTCCTCCTTAGACCTAACATAGAAATAAATATGATATGGGAAACATTAATAAATAAATAAAGACATGACAGCAAAAGTTCAACAGTAGTAGCCTCAGTGGAGCCTCAGTGAGTGCAGAAAAGCATGACAAGAAGCAGCAGCACTCATCAGCAGGCAGGTTAAGTTTAAGGATCCAAGTTCTCTACTCAGAATTGTCCTACAGGACAAATGCCTTGTAGGTTAGAGCAGTGGTTCATGAATTGATCAAATGCATCACACTGATATTTTTTTTATTAGATATCTAAATATTTTACTGTATAAGAGTATATTTCTGGTCATAATGTTTTCAAAATCTTTCTTTTCTTCTTCAATTCTTTTCATTCAGAAAGTCAGAATAGTGTTCCTTTAGTTGTTTGTCAGTTTCTTAAATGAGAATGAAGTACTATACTCTGCAAGTCAAAAATTTAGGAATGAATGTTATCAGGTGAAGAAGATTAAATCGAACCTTGGATTTTTAGGATTATTTTATTGAAGCTAAATCCCATTACTAATTTGAAAGTGTCTTAATATTTTCAAAAGCCAAATTTGAAGGCTGTGTCAAATATTTTTTTACCTTCTAGACTGTTGTGTGAAGAGAAGAAAAAGGCTTTATTTAATCTCTTCTTTTCTATTTGTAGGCTCGGCCTGGTGGATATCGCAGCTCCATTACCATTCCAGAGCGTGCCTGGTCAAGGTTTCGGGACCTTATGGCAGAATTTGCTGATAAAATGAAGTCCAAAGAGGGCCAATAGTATGTTGCATCTGACAGAGGGAATGTGCTTGGTGATGATCTCGGAAATAGCCAAGAATGCTGTGGCCATGGCAAGCCTCAGTAATCAGCAGGGTCAAACTGCGACCAAACCATGCTGCAAGTACTGACCGACGATATGACCAAAAAAACTGCAGACAGATAAAAGAAGAGGAAATGAGCTGACTCAGACAGACAGCTGGCTGATTTACCTGTTCAGATGATCCTTTTATCACGACAAGTATTAACAGACTCACAACTTCAATCCCCACCTTGATCAAACCATTTCCTTCAAACTTCTTCATTGGCATCCAGTTTGCTCGCTCATTTCAAAACATTCACTGTCATCATTATCATCTTTGGTGATGGCAGTGGCTCCTAGGCAGTGAAAACTGCCTTCTAAAATTGACTCATTAAGCACATTTCCTTTGTCCATAAATTGATGGCGATCATTAATGGAGATTTTAAGATCTACAGGACTCATTATATTTTGTGGAAAGTTTATCCGTGATTGTTTGAATATCCAGTTGGGTAGTGTGATATTTGGTTATTAATAGTAATGGTTATGGAGAACAAGGTTTTAAGCAAAGTTCTGTATAAATGTGGGAAGAAGGTTTTAATGGGGGTTATGGTGTTTCTAGTACAGTTCACGGGTGACAAATCTTGCAGCCTTAAACTCTAACTGGTTATATACTAATAGGCCAATGCTGTAACACACCTGACTGATTCTAATGGTGGTTCTGAGCTGCAGTGTAGATATACCACCACTTAAAACCTTGTGCTGTTTGTGTTTCGTGTTAATGACTACATTTGTGGTGAGTTGGTCGCACTTTGTTGAACCAGAAATCCCTCCCTTGCAGACTTATGATTGGCTAAGAAAAACATTACAAAAAAAATATCAAATCAGAAAATATATATAACTTTTTCAGATGGGTGTTGAATATTTCTTTTTATGAAAAAAGTGAAACACACACACATGTGTAATATATATATATATATATATATATATATATATATATATATATATATATATATATATCCAGAAAAGATGGATTTTTAAAAAAAAGATATGTATCTAAAAATTAAATCCCTCCCGAATAAAAGAAAAAAAATTCAACATCCTGAAAAAGAAAAAAAAAATGCATTATTATGAGAGCTTTGAGCTGATCTTTTTTGAATAATAATTCCAAAAATGCAAAAAAAAAAAAAAAAAAAAATCAAAAAACAAAGAGAAAAATACAAAGTAAAAAGCAACAGCAACCCACAACTTGTTACTTGTTTGTTTTGGGTTTTTTTTTCTAAATAAAGGAAACATGAACAGTTAAACGTTGGTAGTTAGATGGTATTCCCAGTTGATATTAGATTGCATAAATGAATATAAAGAGGATTAAAGAGGGTCGCATATATGGATATATATATATATGTGTGTGTATGTTTGTGTATATATATATATATATATATATATATATATATATATATATATATATAAATAAAAAAAAGAACAAGCTCAGGCCTTACTGGTGTCAGTAGACATCACAGATATGTTAATATGTACAGAATGATGTCTATTACTGTATTAAGAATGTTATCCTGTTTTTCTTTCCTAATTTAGGATTGAAAACTTCCAAAGGGCCTGCCACTAAAAACATAATTACATTGTGGCAATGATTTTTAACATCAATCCATGTAATAATATCATGGAACATGTTTTTAAGAAGAAATGAAGAAATTAATCTTTGTTTGATAAAATACTGTTATTTCTATTTATAAGACATTCAGCCTATTAGCTGCAAAAAATTTACTTTTAAAAAAAAAAATTAACTAAAGAAAAAATGGAAAAAAAAACTGTGGCATCCAGTCTTGTATATACTATTTATGAATGAATGAAATGGAAGAAATGGAAGAAAAAAAATGGAAAAAGTATTAATGATATAAATTCTATGACTGTTGCTTATCATTATTATTCTTTTCAACATTGTTGTCTTTCAATTTAGTGAATTTATGTTGTATTTGATGGGCATAGCTTTTTGGAAATCTGTTAGCATCTGCACCGTAATTACACTTTATATAACTCCCACTAAATTTCCTTCAGTATGATGCAAATAGGCTGATGGTAAGAGCTTTGTTAACATTAACCACAATCTTCACAAATATTGGATGGAAATTTACTGGTTTATCACAAAAGAGCCCAGGTTTTATTTTTATACCAAACTATTGGCAATGGTATACAAAAATGAAATAAATAAAAAAAGAAAACAAAAAAAAGAAAGTTGTACAGTACTTGTATTCAACACAAACTGTTCCCAAACTTTGTTGTGCAGATGATTAAATCTATAATGTTGATCTGTTGCAGTGTTCTGATCTCTGTTACTTTCAGTGTGCATGTTAGAAAGTATGTATGTGCATTACAAACTGTTGATACATACAAAATCTACAATTAAAAAAGACAACATTCTGAAAAATGAGCAGCAACAACAATCACCATCACTACAAAATTGAAATAGCCAATTTGATAGGACATGACCCCATGTTTGTTCATTTGTTGAGCAACCCCATGATTTATATGAACATTCTAACCTGTGCATCTTGTCCATCTGAATTTGTGTGTGCGTGTGCAAGAATGACATCTACCAAATACCATACATCATTACACTGCAAACAAAAATAACTGTTTACCTTTTTTGCAAACATATCCCATTGATAGACAACATTTTTTTGCATATTTGTGTGAATAAATGTGTGTGTGTATGTGTGTTAGTAATCATTTGACTCAGCGTTAAAATCTGAATAATAAATACTTTGCTAAAAAAATAAAAACGGAACAAGGTGCAGATACAATTTATTCTACACTGATAATTGTTTTCTTATTGTTATTATTGTTGATGGCTTCTTAGCCCCTAAAACTCCAGACATGGCTTGCCTCTAAACTGATTTTTACTTTCACTCTGTAAGCTCCTGCTCTAACCAGTTAACAAAGCACTATGGATATTATTATTTGCACTGACGGCTAGAGATCTCACCAACTTTTTTTTAATTGAACAACTAAAAAAGTTTTTTTTCCACAAAACTATTTTTCTAATTAAATCTATCAGATAAAAATTAAATTTTCTTTCACTGATTTAGTACTGTAGGATTTTGCTCATTGAAGGCACTAGAACAGTAACACTCAGATTCTCTCTGAATACAATTAGGATCATTAAAATGGTATTTTGAGGCAGTCTCCTGATGGAGGTAGTGCTGTGAGAAGCACTGACTCTAATGTAAGCCAAGTGCTGTTGTAGGCTTTGGTCTTTATCTAAAATCCAGTTGGTTGTCTGAGCCAATTTTGTTAAGAAAAGAAATTTCTTCTGATGGAATTGAGTGCACATCAGTTATATACTGACTGTATTAATTGTGTTGGATCCTCATATATCAAGCTAGTGCTGTTGATCAAAGAGACCCACTGTTGTTGCTGGTATTGCGGCAATTGGAGCTTTCTCTTGATGAAGAAGAGAAAGTGGATTAGTAATGAAACCAGTTGCCTACAATAAGGCCAGGTCAAGTAATGCAAGAGCTCTCCCTTGGTGTGCTTGGTGATGTAAGGGCTAACCCCTGTTAAAGCTGGTGCTCTACAAATTATTCCTAGATGGAGCTGGTGCTGTATTCTTTGATAAAAACTAGTGCTATTGGGGAGCAATTCTTTGTCAAAACAAAATACTACTAATGTACTTCACCTAAGTAAGGTAAGTACTGTTGGGAACCTTCAAAGGAGTTTGCTTTTGAGTTCTCACTTGATTAAACTCCTTCTATATTGGCCTATCCCTCTGTGGAAGTGTGGTACTAGCACTATCTAAAGTTATTCCTTGGGAAAATGTGGCCTTTCTAGGGTTTATACTTCATGGGAGGTGGTGATTTTAATATGTAGCTAAGGTTCTAGAACTGATCCCATGACTGAATTAGAATGATATCGTTAAACCCCTGATTGAACAATGTGTGAGGACTAGTTCTTAGCTTCTACAAGTGATCATCGTGACTGAGTTAAGTTTGTGGGAGTCATTTTGAAGGTAGGTTTGCAGAGGTGAATTTCTTGTTAAAGCAAGAACTATCAAAGTGAACTCTATGGCTATAGAACTGTGAGAGATAAAAAGTATAGAAGCAATCTCATGATAAAGCTACATCAGTAGAATATTCTTCAGCAAACTGAAACTACTGAAATGAGCTCACCATGTAGTTAGTCTTGTGGCGGTGATATTGTTTAATAAAGATCCAATGGTTACAAAAGATTTCTACCATATAATTTATAAGTGTAGAGTAATCTTATAATAAAGCTGGATCTGTTGGAAATGATCACACATAGTGTGAAGAATGGTGGAGTTAACTTGATATGGATAAGACTGGGAGTGATCTATTGCATAAAATATGACAAAAAGTTCTTTGGATGATAATTGGATTGGAAAGTTGGATCTTTAGTCAAAAGTTAATTTATACATGATTATAAGATCCTAGTACCATTTTCAAAAGTCAGGAATGTTGGGGTTTTTGGCAAGATGAGAATAAATGCAAAAATACTGGTTGCTTCATTTTGATGGTGCCAATGATTTGGATTCTTAAAAAAAAGAATCATTATAAATTGCTTTTCCATTTTTTATTTAGAACTCTGCATTCTAAACCAACATGTACCTGTCTGTCACAGTTTCAGTACAAGGCAACCAAAAAGCTTAAATTGGGCATTATTGATTTAACGAGCTAATGTATAGATAAGTGGTTAAACTGTTAACTACTATTATAACTAATCTCATGTCTGAATAATGAACAACAAATGCCATGCATTAACATTTGATAATAGTTTAATTTGTGAACCTGCTTTCTTTTACTTTACTTTTAAACATAATGCTGTTTAAGTATTAATAACAAAAGAATATACATTTTATATGTATACTCTTTCTCAGATGATCTTTTTTATTGTTTCCTTCAGTTTTGTGACATTAAAAGAGGAATGCTTCTACCTCAGTTTGATTCAAGAAC